ATATCCTTCGGAGCTCTACCAGTCCAGCAGTGGTTGCATATCAGAAGAAGGAAGAATGATCCTAGCAGCTCAGACTTATGTGTGGTTTGCTCGGCCAATGAACTGGAAGACATGATACACTGCTTAGTACGCTGTAGAGAGGCGACAGAGTACTGGTCCAGGGCATCCGACCTTTGGGACTCCCTTTTCCATACCACCCTTCTCAAACATCCCATCCATCTTATGGACTAACAGATCTACCCACTTCCGGAAGACAGAGAGCATCTGGTTTGGTATGATCAGAAAGGTGACACTTTGGTCTATATGGAAGGAAAGGTGATGCAAAATGCTTCAAGGTCTCTCCTCTCCAAGAGAAAGTGTTTGGGCGGCTACAAAGGTCGTTGTTTCAGGCCGAGATTCTATGCAAGTGGTAGAAAACAAAGCATTCTATGCCGAATGATTTGAACCTGCAGCAGAAAATCAAAGCGAAATTTGCAAGGGTATGGCTGGTGGGAGGCAAGGTAGTGGACATAAGGGGCCCCGTTATTCAGTGGAAAGACTGGCTCAATTCCAAAGCCGGGCTTAGAAGAGAGAGGGTCCTAATCACGAGATGGGCAGGACCCAATACAGCCCACATAAACCCGACGGCATGACAGGGAGGAGGAGTCAGGCAAAGAAGCGGTTGACAACCTACCAAATTGGAATCCCGTGGGACTTCCCTGACAAGTTCAGGGATTTTGGCTTACCTCTTAACCCTTTCTTGGTTTCATGTTAAATATGGCATGTTTGGGTAAAAAAAACTTGAGAGGAAAGGTAGAGGGAAGGCAAGCTGACAATCAATCCTCCAGACATCTGGAGCAATCAATGCTGTTCAGGGCTCCTTCGTCCAAATGGAAGGAAGCGTGAGTGTTCTTGTTGTCTTTCTGACTCGCAGGGATTGATGCTAGTTCAGTTGGTACACACAAGCGGTTATCGGGTAGCCGAAAATTCAGGAATTAAAATTCTAAGGTGAGAGTTTTGGGCATCTGAAAATCCTGAATTGTCCTGAAGTGGTGAAAGGTCCGAAGACCCTGAAAACCACCTGTTTAGGCAGGCTGCATCCTAAAGTGGTGAAGGGTGTCCTGAAGTGGTCAAGTGAGAGTTTTGGGCAGTCTGAAAATCCTGAATGGTCCTGAAGTGGTGAAAGGTCCGAAGACCATGAAAACCACCCTTTACCCCTTCAAGATGCAGCCTGCCTAAACAGGTGGTTTTCAGGGTCTTCGAAGCTTTCACCACTTCAGGGCCATTCAGGATTTTCAGACCTGAATGGTCCTGAAGTGGTGAAAGGTCCGAAGACCCTCAAAACCACCTGTTTAGGCAGGCTTGCTGCATCCTGAAGTGGTGAAGGGAGTCCTGAAGTGGTGATGAAAAATACGACTGTTGTTAACCTTCTCTCTTGGTACACCCACGAACTGTTGAAATACAGACCCAAGTTCGAATCAAGAGATGACTAGAATAAAATCATTCTGAATTACCTGGGGCCGGTCAGTTCAATGATGATATCTCAAGGCCGTTACCCTTTTCAAAAAAAGGATTAAAAAAAAAAAAAAAAAAGGAATCGGACTGATGCTCCCCAGCCATTCATCCATTCCTCCAGCCCCTTACCATGGGGAAGGGGCAGACCAACGAGTTACGGAAGTATAAATCAAGAGGCAGCGCCCAGCCATTCATCCATTCCTGCGTAAGCCATGCGGAAGCGCTGCCACAACGACTTGTGCGAGGTGGTCTGCAATATGCCCAAAGACGAAGTGGGCCGAAGGAGAGTTTAGCCATAGCGGTAGAGGTAGTAGCGGCCATAGCCGCCATAGTTGGGAGAAGAGTGTAGCATGTGTGCGTGTGTGTACATTGTGTCGCGTGTGGGATATCCAGGGTGATCTTGAGTTGAGTGTGTGTGAACAGCGGAGTTGAGTACAGTGAGGAGCTGATGCGCCATAGCCATCTGAAGTGAGCTTGTATCTGAACTGTGTTCTTGGTTACCCTATCGTTGAGCTTTGAGTGGGCGCTTGTCACCAGTTTGCTGCGCTACCTGTTTACATGCATGTGAAGTGTGAAAGAAAGCGAGTCTGATTGCACAGGGAGTTGAGCGAAGAAATGAAGGGAAGTCACAGACTACTTGAAAACCTTAACGACATCCTCATCTCCATCCTGAACGAGTGGGGTCGCCTGCTGAGAGGTCCGCAGCAATGGAGAAACGGCGACTGGGCAACCTGGAGGACCAGCGACAAGGTGCTTCGAATCGGGCAGATGATGGGACCAACCCAAGAATGGATGAGTGCAGACAAGTACCCAATCACAGTTCCCGGTGCCACCACCAGCCAGTTGGACAAGGAATTACGCACCCCGATCACCATCAATGCCCCAAAGCGGAATACCTATGGGCAGAAGATCGAATTTTGTGGCTGCGCGCTACGTCAGCTTCCTTCCCACAAGACAGGAGGACGTTACTGACGGGAGGTGAAGTTCTTAAGTCATGGCAGCCCCTGTGACGGGCGTGAGGCTGAGGGAGAGCCAAGGGAGAGGAGAGAGAGAGGGAGAGAATGAGAGCACACACACACGCTCACTCACTCGACGCGACTGAGGGTCGGACACAGACACAGTGGCAAGGCACAAAGTCGAAGTCTTGGATTCCGAATGCCGAAACAGCAAGTCACACTGAGTACGAGTACAGCAGCAGAAAACTGGTACGGGACCGGTCCCCGTACCGCACGGGGAGCCGGTATAAGTACCGGTGACACGTACGGTACGAGGGGCATTTCTGCAAAGGCCCCGAGGGCAGAACTGAAAAATGCGGTATTTGAAAGTGGCGCCCGAATTGCAGCATGGGGCCAGTTGTCCAAAATCCTACGGTACCAAAGGAGGGGTTTGGAAAAAGGGTGCCAGGCCGAAAACGGAATGCAGCCGAAACAGCAGAAAGATAGACCAGGGATTGAGCCCTGGCGGAGTCCGTAACAGCCCCACCAAAAGTACATTTTCCAGCTGTTAAGACAGTACACCTTATGGACTATGTGGAAACGGCGATGCCAACAGGCGATCGGGAAGACACCAGTGTACAGACTGGAAGCTGAGGCGACACTCTGCAATCTCATGGAAAGTTGGAAACGGATATCAGGGTCTTTTTGTTTTTGTTTTTGTTTTTGTTTTTGTTTTTGCTTTTGTTTTTGTTTTTGTTTTGTTTTATTTTGTTTTAAAGAAAGAACGTAAGAAAGAAGAGAGAAAAGAAACGCCTGGAGCTTTAATCCCGTAGTGTGGACGCTGGATACATTGGTGGGGGTCACAATGAGGCCAGCTATGTGACTCGAGTATATCCTTTTAAAGTCTTAATAGCTTTTATCCCTACCCTTTCTGTTCTACCTATCCCCAAACTCCCTCAGCCCCGTAAGTTCTGTAACATCTTCCTGTGGTATGTTTGAGCGCTGCCGCCACTTTTCTTTTTTTTTTTTGGGTCAAATACAGAACCTTGCGGTTCTGGATCCATATCCACCCTGGAGAGGCTTCTTCCTTTTCCACCGGCAAGTCAAAAATTACATCAATGATAGACTCATACCCTTCTTCCCATTCTGATTGGGAGACCCGAGTGGGCGGCATTGATTACTTCCGAAAGGAAGGACTCCCCTTACCTGTTACGGACTCAGCCAGGGCTCGATCCCTGGTCCGTGGGGTACCACCCGCCAGCCGGTTTCTTTTTTTTTTCCTGCTCTTCGGTTTCTGACTGTTGGCGCCCTCTGCAGTTGGCGCACGTTTTCAAATCCCTCCTTTCGCACTTTCGGATTTCGACACTTGGCGCCATCCGACATTCTGGTGCCCAGACTCAGACTTTCGATTCTCATTTCAGTCCTGAGGCACACTTCTGCCCTCCGGACTGAACTTGAGTCCGGTACTTAAGACCGGACTCAAGCCCAGTACGGGCATTCAGTCTTCGGCCTCCGTGCTTGTGCTTCAGTGTGACTTGCCGCGACTCTGTGTTCGGAATCGAAGATTGCAACTTTGCGACTTTGGGACTTTGCCACGTCGTGTCTGCGTCCGTTGTGTCAAGTTGAATCCGTGTCTGAGTCGAGTGAGTGTGTGTGTGTGCTCTCACTCTTTCTCTCTCTCTCTTCTCTCTCTCCCTCAGCCTCGCCACTCTCTCTGCCTCGTCACATTACCCCTGCCTAAGTTAGCCTATTGGCTTAAAAGTTAATACCTCTGTTGTACTTGCTCTTTGATTCGACTGCATCTGATCTTGAGCAGGCCCTATGCCGGAATTGTCCTCTCAGCTGAACTAGCTGCCTGGTAAGCTTGTATTTCTAGAGCTTTGCTTATTTCCGGCCTTTTGCCTTGTGATATTTGTTGAGCATCGCTAGATTTCTAATCTTTTTTGCTGAGATCACTCTACAGTCTACCTGTGTGCGGACTTGGGTTGGCCCTGTACCAGACTCTGCCTGCTTCACTATCGCTGAGCTATCTGAACGATTTCGCTACCCTTGTTGGTACGAGAATGTTGCTATCTCATCTGCTGCATCTTCTTCTGAAACCTATGTAGAGGGTTGGGGGGCAGGGACGATTTGGAGGCTGAAGATTATGGGTGGTGATGTGGGAGTTACATTGAACTAGGGTACTTTGCTACTTGGATGATTAATATTGATTATAGATCGACAGGGGACTTCGGTTTTACAGCGCTGCCGCTGCTTCCTTTTTTCCGCTCTTCTCTTCTCCATCCTTAATGACCGTACAGGTTACTATGTGTTAACTCGTCACCCGGTGCATCATCCCTCCCTGCCTATTCATCATTTTGCCAAATGTATCCTTTCTCCCAATTGATGAAGATGAGAGTTGATCTGCAGCCTCCTTGCCTCAACCTGTCCTGCATGTGAATAATGTGACTAAGGAACAGTTAATCTGAAAGGAAAAGAATCACAGAGATCCTTAAGATTACCAATTTAGAACATTGAGCAGGTACAGAGCAATCACTTCAGATTTGGGGTCTATTTGCGATCAGATGACAGCTGATAAGGCATTGCATACCGATCAGCTGTCAACAACAGGCCTTGTACAGGTGTGATGTGACCAGGAGGACACAGGTGCCTTGGTGTTCCCCGGCCTGTCATTGCTGTGTAACATAATTTACAACACACTGCGTCTTCCTGGCCCTATGCAGGATAGTGTCACACTGTCAGATGGAGACAACCTCTTTGTGGGTTAGAAAAAGAAAAAAAGGAAGGTAAAATGCAATTTGCTTTCTGGCTGGTGGAACAAACTGTGTAAGTTCACTGATAAGAATCCATTTTGTCTTCATTTGCAGAGTCTTGGAGGCTCTTAGCCTCATCAGTGCAAGGACAGTCAGAATCGCAGTATCGAAGTTTGATGCTCCTGAGACTACAGGTGTAAGTGATTTTCCTTCCACCACCACAAAGCATTGGTGTCAATAGTGGGGGGAGAGAGAAAGATTGTAAGCAAATTTCCAACCCCTAAAACTGTACCATCAGGGCAACCAAGCGTATTTTGTTGAAGCAAGTTTTTTCCTCGCTGTACGCATCGAACCGACTGCAGATGGGCTTGTACATTGAAAGCTTGGTGTCCATTGCCAAGTCCAGAATTTCCAGTCGGACCTGTCGCACTGGTGGTTTAAGGGAAAATGAAACAGAGATACATATGGAAGTGTGAGCACACAAAAAAACAGAGATGAGAAAGGAAATGAAAACAAGAACGACTTTAAGTCTGAGAAACGAATCTGTCACAGGCTCACATCCATTAAAAGAAACACTCTACACAGCCACTCAGCCCTGGATACCCAAWGGCATGACCRCTAGYAGGRTYTCRTGTGTGTGTGTGTGTGTGTGTGTGTGTGTGTGTGTGTGTGTGTGTGTGTGTGTGTGTGTGTGTGTGTGTGTGTKKAATTTTCACYACAGCAGCCCTTATTGCCTGWGTCTGTGTTGCCATGTTTGCTATGCATAACTCCACCCCCCCCCCCAAAAAAAAAAAACGCGACTGCGCCAGGCTCGTTTATCAGACTTTGACCAACTCATCAGGGGTTCAAACCCTACAATCTTCCCGGGATGCATTGGACTGATGGATAAGGACTCACCACATCGTCTAGAGTTAGCGATATGTGTGTGTGTGTGTGTGTGTGTGTGTGTGTGTGTGTGTGTGTGTGTGTGTGTGTGTGTGTTGTCATGTTTGCTCTACACAACTCCCCAAAAACATCGCGACTGTGCCAGACTGTTTCGTTGGCCTTTCACCAACTCATCGGAGGTTGAGCCCTGACAGTCTACCCAAGATGCATTTGACTGATGGATAAGAAGGACACACCACGTTGCCCAGAGTTAGCAATACCCCTTATGAAAGTGGTTGACTTTGCTCACACCATTTCGACAAAAATAGTTAAAAAAAAGTGACCCCTACTCTGTAGAAAGCTAAATACACCAACCCTGTGTGTGTGTGTTGTTAAAGCACCCCAAATTCTCTCTCTCATTTCCTCCACTAATCATAACAAACATCCATCCATAACAAAAGAGTATAGATAGCTTCTTCTTTTTTTTTTCAAATTTGAACATGTCGTTACATATCCATTCTGGGGAGCATCAGTCCGGTTCCTATTCCCCCGGCAAGTCAAAATGGAAAACATAAAAGATACACACACGCTCCTCCCCATTATGGATTCCCCTGGCAAGTCAAAATTGAATACATGATAATACCCACTCATGGTTCCTTCCGTCTGGCCGAAGGAACCCTGACCAGCATTGATTGCTCCTCTGCTTTGGCTTGTAGTCAGTTAATGAGAAAGGAGAATGCTTCGCTCTGTCCAGCTCAGAAGCCAAATGGGGCCATTGGGTAGAGAAAGGTATATGGAAAATTCAGCATCTCTGAGATGGCACAACCAACAAATGGAAATCAAGAAAAGGACCGAAGACCAATCATGAAAGGCACCCACCACCTTCAAGCAAACATTAATCAGATCATCGAGAGAACCCCGATAGAATGGAGACACCTACTAAGTACTGACCAGAATTGGCAGTTTGGCGATTGGGCCTCACCAAAGGATCAAGAACTGTTAGTAGAGGTCCTGAAGTTCAAACCCTACGAAACACAGAACAAGAATTGGATCTGCTGCGACATCTTCACCCTCCACGAACCAGACAATCCAGCAAGTTTTCTTAACGCAGTAAGCAGAACAGAGGCATCTTTCCTAATACATAACCTACAGAGAATAAGGGTCGTCGAAGGGGAAAGAAACAGGGTCTTCAAGCCCGAGTCTAGCATACAAGAGTTAGAAATTGTTCCTACAGAATGCTCCTAAGGCACTACCAGTCGCCTCTCCACTTTATCATGCTGCCACAGACTAACTGACCACAAGCCCAAACTAGGATACCGCCTCTTCACAAAGCCTGCCTCAATAACCAATACCCTGCAAAATAGATGGGCCAAAGAGGAAAACGCACTTACTGACTAGCATTGATTGTAGCCACTGAGAGCTGAACGCATATCTTCCACTTGCCTTTGTATGTGATATGTTGTGCAGTGTCTTCAAGTTCATCTCAATCTCAATCACCTTGCCATCACTGATGAGCGCTTCAGCAAGTATACACAAGCCAAGGTATGTTAGTCTTCTCTGTGCAAATAGGTGCCAAGCAGGTTACTTCATTTCCACGGTATTTTGTGTTACTAGGCGATGCCACCCAAGTGAGAATGCCTCTGGCACTGTGTACGGGGGAAAATCCTGGTGGGGATTTATGCCTATGCTGCTATGCACTAGTATGCATGCAATAACCCACTCATATATGCCCATGTCGTCGGCCAAAGGGGCCACCGGCAGGCCACAAAATCGGCCCTCAGGCCCCGTGCCCGACCAAGGGGCACAGAACCCCTGAAACGTGGGTTCAGAGGCCCTGCGCCCGACAGTTGACCAAAGTCAACTGCCTGACGGAATATTCAGGCCCACGAGTCAAAGTCTGCACGGACCCAGCCCAGGCCACTGGTCAAACACACACACTTGGTTGTACACAGATATCCAGGCTGCATTTGGTCCAAGGGGAAGTCTGTAACTGTACGAGATCCAGGCCGTCGGCTGTGAGTCAATCTGAGCGTCCGTGGGTGAGGGACCAGAGGTAGGTCAACCTCGTCAACACTACTTATTGACCCTGCCCCTGGGAGTCAACATTCAGTCTTGTCGTGCTGCCTTGACGCTGGCACGACGCTGGCTTGACGCTGGCTGGACGCTGGCAAGACGCGGGCTCTGCGGTGGCATTGTGCGACGACGACGCGAGACTGCTGCATTGTGTGCTGGCGCCTCCCTGCTTCTGGTGCCAGCTGGCTTCTTGCTTGCTGATGTAGCACTGCCCAGCTGTCTTCGATACTTCTTACGTGGCACTTACCACGCTGTCTTGGCATTGCTGACATGGCGCATGCCACACTGTCTTCGATACCTGTCTCTTATACACATCTAGATGTGTATAAGAGACAGGCTGCATTGTGTGCTGGCGCCTCCCTGCTTCTGGTGCCAGCTGGCTTCTTGCTTGCTGATGTAGCACTGCCCAGCTGTCTTCGATACTTCTTACGTGGCACTTACCACGCTGTCTTGGCATTGCTGACATGGCGCATGCCACACTGTCTTCGATACTGATTGGAGATGCGACAAGAGGGGTGATCAGGATCTGTGGATTGAGTGAGTGAGAGAGGAGACTTACCTGTTGCTGCTGTCGACATTGTGTACTGCTGAGTTGTGTTCAGGAGAGATCTGTGCCTACGTGGCACTACGTTGTGATCAGATCTTGTCAGGCTCGTTTCTGGGATACTGTTTTGCTGACGTGGACGTGGGAGACGCCCGAGGAAGAAGTGGGATTGAAGGAGATCTATCTACCTGTACTATTGATGGATACTTTCTCTTCCAACATCTAAGTCTCTTCTCCATCCTATCCGCTTCGTCCTATGGTTAACGAGACATTGTATCATTGATTGCATTCATGATTATTGGAGACATTTCTCAGCGCTGAGTTATTTCGTACTTCGACACTTGACGAGTTTCCTCCAGACTGGGTTCATTACATGCACTAGCATGCAGCATTGTCAACATTTCGTTTTGGCTATTCTTTCTTTCTTTCTTTGTAGGGCCTTATGATCCTGGCTCCTTTCTGTCTTCTTGTGCATCAAGCAAGTCGTAGAACTACATAGCTCATTCTGCATGCTCGCCTCTGAAGGACTCCCGAACAGCATTGATTGCTCCCTGTGAAGAGGGATTAGCGTCAGATAGCCTTTTCCTTCTTGGATTCCTCTCACGTCACAGCTTACAGAGACTCGAAGAGATGCTTGTGTTACGATCCTGGCCAATTTCGAAGTATGCATTCATCTGAAAGTACAATGCCATCCAATTGCAAAAAGAAATGAATGAACTTGAGAGGAAAGAGAGGGAAAGAAGAAGAAGAAGAAGTGAGAAAGAAGAAGATGATGATGTACTCCAGCGTAGACCAATGTCAAGGCTCTTCTTCTTCGCCAACCAATCCCTTCCTCCTTATCTCCTTCCCTCTTATTCAAACAAGAAATAACAATAATAATGTTGAATGACTGAACCCTGTCTCTTATACACATCTAGATGTGTATAAATGTACTCCAGCGTAGACCAATGTCAAGGCTCTTCTTCTTCGCCAACCAATCCCTTCCTCCTTATCTCCTTCCCTCTTATTCAAACAAGAAATAACAATAATAATGTTGAATGACTGAACCAGAATCAATGTCCGAATCCCATTTCTACTGCAGGCACAACATGAGGTCCACCCTAGCCATGGCCACCCTTCTTCTTCCTCTACATACAGGCCGAGGCTATGGTGGACTACTGAGGCTTCAGCCTCCCGTCCAAAGGACAACCCAAAGCAGCTATGTCGCTGCCCTACTTCAAGGTCATCACCATGCAGCTATGCCGCTGCCCACTCAGCCACCATGCCTGACTCTGTCCCGAGYTTCCTTGATGCGGCACTACCCCAACGGGGCCTTCCTGATGCAGCGCCTAGCAAGGAGATGAAGATGGTGTCTACCATAGCCAGGTAAGTGCCTCGCCACTCTCCTCCTTGGTCCCCTTCTCCCTCCTCCTCCTACCGGTAGAGCTCCACCATAGCCAAGGTGGAAGCTCCCGGCTTCTTCCTCCCAGCAGCGCTGTAGTACCCAGCGCCACTCCAGCCAGCGCTCCAGCAGCGTGTCGCCAAACTTGCACACTGAAGAATGAGGCTGGGCTCTCCGCCTGCCTCTTGATATAGCGGCCTACTTGCCTCCTGGGCGGTGACTTCCAGGCCGCTCGGCCTCTCCAAGCAACCGGTACTTCCTCCGTTTCGGAGGGAAACATCATTGCAGACCCTGATATTACCCGTACAGGCTGTAGACTCAGACTGGTTGGACTGGTACCGGCCTAGACCTACCCTACCGCTACTGGACTATAAAAATGCCAACTTTGTCTTTTTCTGTTCGGCCTCCAGTACCCCCTCACGCCAACTGCAGTGGGGTGCAGTATCGGCCTACCGGCCCACTTGAGTGTTTTTCCGCTACCCCAAGGGCCGCGGGGCCGCTAGCTTCACCACTTGAGTGTTTTTCCCTGCTACAACCCTCAATGCCACGGCCACAGGTAAGTACCGGCCCTACGGGCCTGCCAAACAAGCAAAGTACCCTTGCGGGTCACACACACACTCATACCAACAAGCACTCAGACAGGCACGCAGGTCACGAGCACGCACACACAGACAGACTTAGAAAACACAGCAGAATGCGGGAATCTCAGCAAGGCATCCATTCCATAGGCAGAACTTCAGAAATCAGCAGTGTTCTCAGTCTGTGTTTTGACGGGTCATTACACTTGACTTGAATCTGAGATGTTTTACGTTCATTGTGATATGTAATGCCTCACGTGGAGTGTTCGACTTAGCTATTGTGCATCATCCGCTTTCAGGCCGTTGTCTGTGCTCCTGCTTCTGTTCAACAGGATTTTGGCAACATGGGCTGGCCACTTGTGTTGCTTCTCAGCTTCCACCATTTAACATCTCTCCTCCTGAAGGCCCTGATTCCAAAGAGGGAAAAAAAAAAGGGAATTCTAAGAAGGTGCTCAGCAAAAAGTTGTTTGAATTTCAATTTTAGTTTTAACCTGTGTTAGTCCCCGGGCGGCCCGGCTGGGGGAAGGTCGCCCGGGTACCCTCCCGGGGGGCCCGGACCCGGCAGGGCCCGGGCACGGTCCCGGGCGATCCCAGCGCATAATATTCTAAAAAATAGAAAGAAAAAAAAAATTCAAAAAAATCCGAAAAAAAATATGTTGTGTAAAATTGCAATACAAACGACTTTTGGCTGAGGTCCACCTCGAAAATCCTTGTTAATTTCAAGATAAAAATAAATGAGAAAACATGAAGTCCCAAAAGACTCCAAATGTACCCTTTTAAGCCCTTTAGTCACTGTTTATACCCCCCAACCCCCCCGGATGACCCATCACCAAAACCGAAGTTGAGACCGGATTCTGACTGCTTGGGCCAAGGGCAGTCCTGGCCTGAAGTCTTTTCTTTTTTTTTGGGATCCTTGCCTCTTTTTTGACCCGTCTGGTTTTGCCGGTTAACCCCCCCCTCTGCCCAACTGGCCTGGGCGTGCCTGGCCGGGCGACGGCCCAACATAGGTTTTGCGCTAGGGCTGCCCAGGACCAGTTTGGGACCTAGCCGGGAGCTTGCTCGGGACACCGGGCAGCCAGAGGCAGCCTGGGCACCCGGAAAGGTAACCTAGCTAAAATACAAATTATAATATTCTATATCGCCGAACAGAGCTGCCTGTAAACTGTAGGCAGAGAGGGACAAGAGGACACCAAGCAAAGGGTTGTGACAAACACTTGCGTCCGAGTTTCACCCGCTCATCAGGAGGCTGAATCCAGTTTCTCAAACATTGTTTGTTGTTTTTTTAGATGATGTCAACGTATACACATGAAACAAAAAGGCCACTTTCCAATTTATCGCACCCATCCAGGATCATCCCGAATGCAGTTTGTTTTTCGCTGTTTTTTGGGGTGGGGAGAGGGGGGCTTAAATAGGTGTACGTTGACTTGATTTCTCTATTTCAGTTCTTATCTTTTAGTTAATAGTACTTAATGAGGAATTCTGAATTCCAAATCAACCCTCAGCCAAAAGTGATTTGCATGGTTTGTACTGCAATTGTACACAATTCTCAAGATATGTTTGTTCCAGATATTCAATCTCTTTCAGTTATTTTGCCCAGGGGTCGCCCAGTCTGGTGTCCTATGACTGGTGACCCATTGAAGGAACAGGTGGTACTCGGATCTCCGTGTTGAGGATGGATTCCTTGTTTGTGGTGATGAAGCTTATATTGACACATTCTCAACCTTTGCAAATTTTGATGTTTGAGAATATTGACTGTTGTGACACTGTCTTATCTGTTGCGAAAATGGAAGCTCTATGTTCTCGAGTGTCCTCTTGACTGTTCATCAAATGAAGGCGATAGTTATATGGATGAACACAGAAGTAGGCCAAATGTGGAGGGGGATGCTCAAAACCGCAGCTGTGATAATGCTGGATGGAACAGCTGTCGAAGCAATGGTGATGAAGCCCTTTCATTGAAATATCAAGTTAATGACAATGGCACTCGTACCATGGAGTTGGCTCTTCATCAAGCACGTGTTGTCTGGCCTTATCTCAATGACATGGGTCTACTCTGCAGCCTTAAGGTAACTATTCTGTATGATACTTTATGAGTTTCACATATTGATCCACCTTTCATTTACTCGCATGTTGATCTACCTATCATTGACTGCAGTAGATGGTATGTCCTCTTCGATTTGAGATTCAATGTAGCAGCTCAGTAAAATGGTGTTTCATTGCCCCACTCCCACCATACTGAACTCTCTACGTCCATTCATCCCTCCTGCTTTATCGCTTGTCTTGAGGGTGGCTCTGTTGCTGATCTTTGAAATGGCTAAATAATAAAGTAATACAGGGTGTTATGATCACTGTTATCTTATACAATCATACTGGTTGTTTACGTATTCTTTCTGTAGTCTTTTCACGTTCCTCTATGTCCAACCCATTTTCGTATGCTGATCTGTGGTGGGAACTTTTTTTGCTGATTGTTGCAGGAAGTTCTCACGAATTATTATGGCGGCCCAGGCTGTGTTGTTGGTTCAAGTTCGCTGGAACCTGACCCTTGGTTTTACTTCAGCATCACCTGTAAGGTACTGCAATGGTTTTCTACATATTCTTTGAAAAAGGACAAAGGGAAAAATGTCACTGAAATGGTTCTGCCAATCTATTGTGACTCTGAGAAGGCACTAAGGTTTTTTTCTCGAAAAGTTGCAGATGATAAGGGTGCATGCCACATATTCTGTTTCAACTTGCCAGCGGCAGAGGAAACGGACTGATGCTCTGCAGAATTGAAAGGAGCTGTACACATCAGATTGTGTAGAGAAAATTGCTGCAGTGGCTGAAATAGTCTGCTTAAAATGACAAGCAAAGGACTGAATTAGGTGGTATTGTTGTTAAGGTATGAAGAACCCCTCACGTTCCAGTTTGCCTGTGATATGCAACCTCACGCCCCACGAGTGTTCCGTACCCATGGGGGGAATGCCGATCATATGGAGCATGGCCAAGGACTTTGGGCAAAGCAGGGGGGGCAAAATCCCAGGACAAAACCGGAAGTTCCCGATTCAGTTCGGAGGTTATCTTTACAAGGAAGAAAGGAAAGGAGAGACAGAAGTCCAAAAGGTCCACTTTTCAAAATTGTCCCCTGCCCGGGAGGAATTAACAAAAACGGATGCAAAACGACAAAAGAAGCAAGGGCTGCCGAAATCGAAATGAATGGATCCAGTCTCCTTCCGACATTCTGAAGGAGAAATGCCGACGGGGAAGACCATCTTGAGCAGTTTGAATCCTCGCTATAGGAAGGCGGAGGAGGCAGGGGAATGGACACGCGGAAGTTTGCCGGAAGTGCAGTAGCCGAGCTGCTGTGCTCTTGGAAACGGACCGATCCCTGACGTCACAGCACCAACCATCGCCACGAACACAAATTACCCAGTTTGCACCGACGGCAGCTACACTTGGGGTTCCACATGGCATGTGTGGCCGACCAGGGCAACACTGCGAGATTGGAGTACGGAAAGATGAGTTGAGAAGTAGTCAATCAGAACAAAGTTCAACAAACCCGAACTCACCAAAATGACAAGCTTTGGATTGGTTGTAGAAGTGAACTCAGTCGGTTCGCAATAGCAGCCTCCTCACGTCTGCGTTGCAGCAGATAGTCTTCATCTACTACAGGGAACTCAGGAAGCCTGCTATGGCTGATCAAGAGGAGCTTTGAGCATGGGCAATTGCCCGCGTTGAGACTCAGGGTTGAAAACACCACCTCGATGCACACAACTTTTTTTTTTCTTTTTTTTTTTAAACACCAAACAGGTTCTTACGGCCCTGGTTCCATTTCCATTCTGGGGACACATCAGCCCGGTTCCTATTCCTCCTGCAAGTCAGGATAAAATATTACATCATGAAGCAGTGAAACACATTCACGCTTCCTTTTATCTAGCCGAAGGAACCCTGACCAGCATTGATTACTCCAACATCGTGGAGGATTGACCGTCAGCTTGCCTTACGTCCACCTTTCCTCTCAGGTCCATTGCATGAACCTGCCAGATCGATCATAGAGAGCAAGAAAGGTATAGAAGCAACGGAAGATGCAGTCTGGGAATTGCCATTCAGAATAATGTGGCCTGTGATGGAGCGTGTCCATCTGCTGGCTGAGATCTCTGCCTTCTTCACCCCACATCTGAGTTGTGCCAGTCTTTCCCCCGTAGACAGTCATTTATCTCTGCTACTTTGACCCCTGCCAGCCACACCTTAGTAAATTTTGCCTTATTTCCCCTCTGTTGCTCTTCGTCATCTGGCATGGAGTGACTCGTCTTATGCCACTGACACAGAATTTCTGCCTGAATCAAGGTCCTCGTCTCCGCCCGTACCTTCTCCCTTGGAGTTGAAAGTCACACAATGGTTCTGCAGCACCTCTCCTTCCACATGGACCACAGTGTTACCTTTCTCATCATTCTCAACCATGTCTTCTCTGTCTTGTGGAATTGGGCTGGGAGGTTAGTCCATAGGAGGAGTTGGATGGGGTGTTCAGGGAGGGGAGTCGAGAAGAGGGAATCCCAGAGGTCCGAAGCCTTGGCCCTGTATTCTGTTGCCTCTCTACAGCCTTTTTTTTTTTTTCCCTTAGCACTCTTAAAGAGTGTAAAGGGTTTCGCGTGACGCTCCCACGGAGACCCACTTGCCAGTGTTGGGAAAGGCGGCGGGGCAAGGRGCGGGCCCACGGGACACCTGTGTCCTTTTTTTATCTTTTTTTGTCGTTTTGTGGGCTCGCTCACGTCGTTTCGTTTTGGACTTAGGGCCTCGCTGCACTACTCACGAGACTGAATCTACCGCTGGAGTACGGAGAAATACGTTGCTTATCATTTTTTGTCGTTTTGTGGGCCCGCTCGCGTCGTTTCGTTTCGGACTTAGGGCCTCGCTGCACTGCTCACAAAACTGAATCTACCGCTAGAGTACGGAGAAATACCTTGCTTATCTTTTTTGTCGTTTTGTGGGCCAGCTTGCGTCGTTTCGTTTTGGACTTAGGGCCTCGCTGCACTACTCACGGGACTGAATCTACTGCTAGAGTGCGGAGAAATACATTGTCATCTTTTGTCTTTTGCGCACTGCGTCGTGAAAGGCGGTGGGGACGAACGGGATGAGTCGGAGGGGGTGCGGGGAGGTGGGGACCAGGGCAGTGGGCAGGGGGAGCGGCAACGCGAGGAGCAAAGGAGGGACCAGCGGGGGCAGAAACGGGATGAGAGAGAGAGAGAGAGAGAGAGAGAGAGAGAGAGAGAGAGAGAGAGAGAGAGAGAGAGAGAGAGAGAGAGAGAGAG